TTGAGTATTCTTTTTCATTGTGAAGAGGGTTTTTGTTGGTCGTTTGCTTAGAGGAAGAGATTCATTCTGTTGTTGTTGTATTTATTTCGTGATTTATTATTATTGACAATTCATTTTTTATTTTGTTATAATTCATTTTTTGTTGTTTTATGATGGATTAGTTGAGTGGAATTGTATGTTTTAATTTTGAGATCGAGAAAGTAAGTAGTCTCAGTATGGCAACACTGATGATAAATTACGGTGGATGTTATAGGGTTATCAATGAGTAATTTTGAATTTACTTTTTTGAGTGTTTGAATTTGATTCAAGTCTTTATTACGGCCTATGATACGGCACGGCACGTATGAGGGCTTTTTCTTTAGAAGAAGGTATGACGCTGAGTACGAAGATTTTATGCTGACAATTTACAAACAGGCGGAATTTTTAATTGTGCACAATTTGATCAATATCGTTTTTCAGTTGGTATTGATCCGTGCTGTGGGCTTCTTCTTGAATCCAGTCTATCGATTCTGGCTTGATCCAACAGTATTGCGTGATGTGATGCATGAATATGTTCCGGTTCGTTTTAGTGTTAAAAAAATTTTGAGGAGAGGAAATTCATTACTGAAAATTTGTTCAGTTTTTGTCATCTATTCATTAGCAGTTCTGGAAATGGCGAACAACTTTGAATTTTTGGAATGCCTTCGAATCGAGGCGATTTGTCAAAAATCTTCATCAGCTTTCAGAAATCTAGTGCATTATGTTGATCTCCTCTCATTCCAAATTCATTTATATGATTTTGAAGAATATTTATCGAGCGAACTGCTTGAGGTGATAGAGCGTTTTGCAGAATAGGAATGAATATTTTTTAGGTGGTGGTGCATTACTAATGGAAATATAGTTGTCGCTAATATGTGCTTATGATCACCCCAGATTATTCCTTCAATGAGAAAAGAAAGGAGAAGTTTTCAGGAATCTCGCACGAAGACAGTGCAAAGTTTGATGGCGGCTGGTGTACGTGAGATGGTTCGACCGAATAAAATCGCTTACTTGCAACGAATCGTGCGCAATCTTTCATCATTTAAGGTTGGATGTGTCTAGTTTGTTTGACTCGGAAATTTTGCATGAATGAAATTTACAATGGTTTTTCTTTTGCTTTCGCCTAGACGATGATTTTTTTCATTCATTTTTATCAGTTTTGTTATTCTCCGAAAAGAATTTTTTCTCATTTAATCTGCTTCGAAATTCCAGGAGATGCGAATTCTGAGGTCGCAACTGGCCACTCAGCCTCTGTCAAATTCACTCGCGAAACGACAGTTCTTCAT